TTGCCTCACTTGAGAAACCTTGCTATTCCAAGATGGATATTCATTAATAAAAAGGTGGTTTCAATGCAGTTGATTGGTTTTTCGGACGCAAGTCTAGTGGCATATGGCGCCTGCTTATATGTTAGGGCTATATATGAGAATAACAATGTTGTTGGCTTCACAATTATGCTGCATGTTTTAGCATGTTCTAATTATTGTTGATTCCGTACCACCCAGTACCGGTCATATCAGTTTTGTCAGTTTGAGTTAAGTCTGTCAAGATTGCTGTCAAATTATTGCAGCAATATATCAAAATTCGCTCTCCGTAAAAGTTAGTTCGGTTCGTGTTACTCATTTTTATGTAGTAAATAAGGATACAGTCCACAATCATACCTAGTAACATCCGGAGAATGTTATCAGGTCGAAACTAACTTCCTCCCGAGTGTTTTCTTGTCCTCACTTCCATTGTTAAAGGTAAAATTAAAGTTTAGTAATCTACTGTTGTTTAAGTGTCATTTGGAGACCAATAAATAATTGTTTTCTGCAAATTAAACTGTTTACTAATAACATTCCCACTTCAAGAAATTTCAAACAAACCAGCTATAAAAAAAAAAAAAAACAAATTAAGAATATTTATATCTGGACAAAACACATAGTACACCAAGATAAAGTTATTACTACAAAGAAGAAAGTAGTGCACAAATCGCAAATTCAAAGACCTAAGCTTTTTTCTTCTCCACAGAATAAAGACGATGAACGGAACGATGCTATTCCTTCTTGCAGCTATGCTGACAATGACCGGAACATCGATAAGTAGGTCCACTGACATCATCCCTCTCAGTAACCCCCTACTTCCATTCCGTTTAGGAAACTCTAAAATAATTGAGAGTAAACACACATTTCTACATTTTGTAGAAATTAACCCAATAATTAATAATTTAGATACTATTAAATATTCTTATAATATTTTAGAATCACTAATCAATCAAACGCTTAATAATACATCGCTTAATTCGCATCAAGTTCATATCCATTCAAGAAATTTGTTTAATCATGCTAAATATCTTATCTTAGAAGTTAGTACTAGGGTAGATAATATTAAACCACATAATCGTAATAAACGTGGCTTAATTAATTTAGTAGGAAAAACGTCAAAATGGCTTTTTGGCATACTAGATTCAGACGATGCCGAAAAATACGATAAAGCAATTGCAGAATTGCAAAGTCATCAAGACTTATCTGAGAAAGAAGTTAATTTGCAAATATCATCATGATTAACAACTATAATAGCACAATATCTCTCCTCAGTGAAAATCAATTAATAATTAAGAATCATATTTCAACTATAGAACAAAATTTTGATAAAAGAATTATTGATCTAACTACTTCTCTAAAAGCACAAAATAGTATTTTTCAAATAATTCTTAATTGTCAAAACCTTATTACGTTCTTAGATAACCTAGAGGATGCAATAATGTTCGCTAACTTAAACACATTGCATACGTCAGTAATAGCCGCCTCCGAATTAAAACAAATTATTGCTAACTTGACTGTTTTATATGGCGAAAGCAGAATTGCAAATTTTGGGAATTTGAAATATTATTATCAACTAGCTGGTTTACAAGTAAACTTCTCTAAAGACAAAATAATATTTGCTATTCATTTCCCAATCTTTCTAGAAGACTTATTTGAAATTTTTCGCCTAATTCCTGTTCCAATCCAAAATACGATTTTCATTCCAAACTTACCTTACCTAATAATTGGCACTGACCTACAACAATATGAAGAGGAAGCCTGCCCAATGATTCAAGATTTCTACATCTGCCAAAATCATCTCAGCCCACAATTAAATGACTGTGTTGTAGCCCTGATCAAGAAAGCAGAAATCCAGAACTATGAAGCTGTCCAAGTCAACGTAACAATGCCGATAATGCAACCTATCACTAACAAATACATCTTGGCAATTCCAACCGAAACTAACCTTAAAATGCAGAAGCTTTGCCAAAACGATGAAATCGCATTTATAAATCACCCCAGCTTAATTGAAATCCCATTAAACTGTGGAATAATTACTGGAAACATTCAAATCTGGAACAAGGAGGACACAATTGATGGAAGACCTCTTTCTCTGCCTCCAATCAAAATCGAAACAATGACGTCACCAATTGCGAACCAGAAAATCCTCAAATTAAATTCTGTAGACCTGGACAAAATTAAAGATCTCCAGAAACAATCCGAATTACTAATGCCAATAAAACATGAAGCTATTCATCCGGCTACCTGGAGTATAGCTACCATATGTACCACGTTGATGTTCATCGTGATTGCTCTAACAGTAATTTGGCAACTCTACAAAAGAAGAGGTACCCAACTTCGTGAACTCATCCAAGGAAGAATTATCCAAACATCCGAAAACAGTCCCCAATCCGTATTATTTTCGACTTCGGCGGGAGGAGTTATATGAACAATGTTGCAGAGTTGAATTCCATTACCTAGAAACAGACTCAGCAAAGCAGAACTTATAAATATATGTAATCATGCGCTTATGGGCATTCTTCATTAAACTTAGCTTTAGGCTAGAACGCTCTTTGTAATTTTCCAAAATAAAATTGATTTTTAAAAACAGTATTTTTCGTTTAAAATACATAACTCATGTTAATAGGAACTTTTTGTCTTATTTTTATGCAAGGAATACGCTTCCGAAAGGATGCCACTTACTTTTCAATCACCCTGTATAATATAGTCTGTTCATTCTTACACCCGATTGTCCGATAATGTGTCCAAGTAATTTCATTTCCGGAATGCCTATCTTTGACTTGTTTACTTGTAACACTTTAAGTACTGTTTTTAACTTTTCATCATGCTGCTCAACATTTTTTCCAAAAACTGTAATGTCATCAACGTGTACTAATAATGGTAATTCGAAAGTCTATTTATTGTACTCTGAAAACTTTCTAGAGCTGAAGTAATTCCAAAAGGAAAAAGGCAATGTAATGGAAGTTGCCAAAAACTTGATACACAATCTATTTTTAATTTTGAAAATACTTTTGCATTTCTTATTTGTGCCAGTATAGAGTCCACTCTTGGTAAAATAAGTTTTTATCTTAAAACAAATGCATAGAGTTCAGTGAAGTCAGCACATATTTTAACTTGATTATTTGTTTTGGGGATTCTAACCATTGGTGCACATCATGGAGTACCCCTGCTCAATTTATCTTTTGATCTACCATTTTTTGTTGCTCTCTTTTAACTTTATCCAATAATGGAAGTGCTACTCTTGGTCAATTGTAATATACACGAATCTGAATAATATGAATATGAAGCTAACATCAGCCACGTGACCACATGCGCGTCTACGTGCTACCTGTAAAGGCTTCCTTTTCAAATCAATCAATCAAATCTCATCATTAGGAGCAATAAATTAGCTGCGCTGATGTCGAGGGGATCAAGAATTAAAATTAAAGTCGAAACATTGTCGAAATTAAATAGTTTCCATTCTTCCACGATCCTTGTCCTACAACCCAAGAATTTGTTCATTATAATTTTATGGCTCAAAATTAGCTCATATTAACAGGGATAGATGGATATCATAGGCTACCAGATTATGCATTTTATAGAGGAAAACAAGGACAAAAATAAGTTGAAAATTACTTGCCCTTTATGATGAGATTTACTAATCTCGACACATGTCTGTAGGGCTTTTTAAAACTTAATAATAATTGGAATGTTTTGCCGAGTTTTCTGAAATTCAAAATTAGAATTGGATGAGCAAAGCAAATAATACTTTTAATTAATTTCAAGAATTGATTCTCGTGCAAAGCTGTTTCCATTGAGCTCAAGAAATGGCGATTTAATGAATTAAGTTCGATTTATTTTTCTAAATCCGGCCTTAAAAAAATGATTTCACATGCTCCATTCTTAATATACAGGGTGTCCGGTAAGTATATGGCACACTCTCGGGAGCATATAGTAGGGGTCAAAATAACCCTACTTTGTTCTAAAAAAAAATTCCTAAAGTGCTCCTTAACGGAGATACAGAGCCCCAAAAGAGTACTTGGCGATACACATTTTTGGCTCTAACTTTTGAACCGATTTGTATAATTTAATGAAGTTTTGATATTTTATGTTGGCCATAAAGACTCATAAAATCGTCCTACAGCAGATGTTTCACATAGTCTGGGAAGTCAGGAACGGACTTGCCACTATATTCATTATGCCAAATTTTTGACAGGAGTTATTTTATACACCTGAATACTGATTTTTTAAATACTTTGGTCATTTCTCTTCAAAAAAGGTGCTCTACATTTGTTTCGATTAAATCAACCGTTTCCGAAAAAAATAGGTTTTTGTATACGCACCTTCAATCATTTCCCTTAAAAATTTATTTAATGATTAAGTTGATTCTAGATTAAGAAAAACAGGTAAAAGTTGACTTATAAAAAGTACCTTCTTATGACAAAAAGGGTCGTTTTCAGGTACTTTTTATAAGTCAACTTCTATCTGTTTTTTCTTAATTTGGTATCGACTTGATTATTAAATAAATTTCGAAGATAAATGATTGAAGGTGTTATACAAAAACCTAATTTTTTCGGAAACGGCTGATTTAATTGAAACAAATGTAGAGTACCTTTTTTGAAGAAAAATGACCAAAGTATTTAAAAAATCAGTTTTCAGCTGTGTAAAATCACTCCTGTCAAAAATTTGTCAAAATGAATATGGTGGCAAGTCCGTTCCTGACTTCCCAGAGTATGTGAAAAATCTACAGTAGGATGATTTTATGAGTCTTTATAGCCAACATAAATATCAAAACTTCATTAAATTATACAAGTCGGTTCAAAAGTTAGAGCCAAAAATGTGTATCGCCAAGTACTCTTTTGGGGCTCTGTATCTCCGTTAAGGGGCACTTTAGGAATTTTTTTTTTAGAACAAAGTAGGGTTATTTTGACCCCTCTTATACGCTCCCGAGAGTATGCCATATACTTACCGGACACCCTGCATTAAATAAGTATTATTGTACTTACTTTCTGTGAGAATGAAAGCTGGCGTAAGTAAAACTTTTCCCCTCGTACTCTCCAAAAAATCGACTATCTCCTAAAATGATGTGGTAGATTTCGTTGCCGGAACAACGGCCGTAGAGCCGATGCCATTCTTCCTGAGATTGTTGACCTTCCCTGAAACATACACACTTAAATGTTTCCTAGGTCCTTATTCTTAAAACAGGGTAGTAGTATTTACAGGAGAACAAGTGTTCCGTCTTTGTTATTTATATTATCAATTATCATTTGCATATCATTAAGAAAGACGGAACACTTATTCTTCTGGAAACTTTGCTCCTCTGTTCTCTGTTTCAAGAATAACGACCCTGCTGGTAATAATAATAATTGTCTCCCCATTAAAAATCAAAATGGGATACTTACTGTCCTCTGGAAGTGTGTAACAACAAGGTAACTAGAGTAGACGCTCCGGGGCACGTACAATTGTTGGCGAGCAACGCGTACTTGAACTCGTCTTCGCAAACGACAAACTCGGCGAATTTCACGTGCAATTTGTTTTCGGGTCGGAAAATTTGCACGTACTGCGCGACGCTAGGCGCGTAGTCTTTTACCGCCCAGCTACGTAAAATCGTGTGCTCGTCCTGAAACAACAAAGAATCTTTATTTTATTATGTTAAAAGCCTTAACTCATTAAATCATTAATAATCCAGTTATTTAAAGAGGTAATATAGTCCAATTAAATAGTATTTTTGGTAGGAAAGTTTTGGGGAAGTTTTGAAGGATTTTATTTACCTTCAGACGACCGTGACGTTTTGTTATCATAAAACTGGTTTAATATTTGAAAAAGATAATTTTTGTAGTTTCGTAGTGTATAAACACAAAAGACAAACACAACACATCACAGATGCTTGACCGTTGCCGCCATATTAAATTTGTGTTTTGACAAGTCGTTGGATTGCCCTATTGTATTTTGGTAGTTTTATACGAAAAATAAACGTTTTTTTTTTGTGGTACAATTGAATTTTTGGTTCTGATTCACGCACTATTATTACGGGATAGCCTATCCTCACAAAACCTGTGTGGAACAAATTTGAAGCCCCCCACCACGTCCAATCACCAGTTGTGACGTAGCAGCATGTTCTTTTTCGCCTTGACGTAGACACGACAGGTTTACAGGTTATGATTCCGCAGGCTTTTGGTTTATGTTTACTTGGTTTCACTAACATTCTGAAACAACTCTTTTTTAGATCTCGTTTTCATCTTCCTCTTCGCCTATTACGTTAATCAAAATTAAATAATATTTTTTATCATAAATTTAAATTCTAAACTACGACCTCTAATGCAAAGAGCCGAGTTGCTAATGACGTCAGAAATGGTTACACACTAATATGACGACGATTACCAAAAACGAGGCCGATAAGCCAAAGGTTGTTTGAGAGAAGTAAGTTGCCTGATAACTTTATGACGTCATTTGACGTCAACACAATGCAAATCTGTATAAGTCACCCCAAATGCGTCATCAAGTTACCCATTGCCAGGCAACCTATTACCTTTAGGAACTTTCTAATAAGCAATCCTTTAGTAGTGTGTAGGTATAATCCCTGAAATCCAACGACCTGTCAAAACATAAATTCAATATGGCGGCAACGATCAAACATCTGTAATTTGTGTTTGTTATTTTGTTCATACACTTCGAAAATACTTATCCTTTTCGAGCAGAAGCGGATGGGCCGACAGGAATTTTGGGAAGTTTCCCAAAGGGCCGCTTGCTTCTGGACCGATTGGACCAGCCCGGAAGCATATACAGGGTGTCCCAGAAACACAGTTCACCTCGATTTTCTCGATTTGAAATGAAAAACTGGTTTCCCGAACCGGTTTTATGTGTCCTGTTTCCGAGCAATAGAAAATTCCCTCAAAAATTCACAAATTAAACATAGAGAACACAGTTGTCTGAAAATAAACGATATATTTGACGCCAATTTCATTGTTTGACCATAAGCGCCACATTGGGTTTTGATATTTCTATACATAAACCAATGATAAACACACCTCGCAGATGTTTGACCGTTGTCGGCATATTGAATTGACGTTTTGACAGGTCATTGGATTGGCCTATTGCGTTTTGGTTATACGAAAAATAACGTTTATTGGGGTGCAAAGAATTGAATTTTTAAGGAAAATATAATTTTTCATCAAGTCAAGTAAAAATTATTCATTAGCTAACTTCACGTTTCAAAAACATCAAAGCAAACCTTAAGTCGCCATTTTAAAATTGTGTTTTTTGGCCGTCATTGGTTTTTCTCGAGTATTTTCCAATTTTCAATAGATTTCAGTGCAGAAAATGTTTCTTGTGATACGAGGAATTGGATTTTTCATAATCGGCACGTTAATATTCAAATAAAAAGCTATTCTTCATAGAAAATATTCTTATGGTAAGTGGAAACTGTCATATTAGCTATTATAGTGGCGACAATTATCGTCCTATTTTTGAAATCCATTATGTTTATATTGAAAATTTGCAATAAATATAGCGGCGGAGCCTGGTTCACTTCTATATTCACCAATGAAATATTCAAAATTAGCAAAAATATAGCGACGGGATTTCCATTATCGCCACTGTGAAGGTGTATTGAGCCCCTGTAATATCAACTATAGTCCGTTGCATGGTTCTTCAGCTACGACTACTGAATAGACAGAAAGAACAATGGGCTATTGCTGCGTTGTCATATCAAAAATAATATTTATTATTACATGAAAATGAAGGAAATTTTATTGCAATTTTCATGTATTAATAAATATTATCGATATAACAACTACTGACAACGCAGCAATAGCCCATTGTCCCCTCTGTCTATTCAGTAGCCGTAGGTCAAGAACCATGCAACGGACTTTAACTTCACCTTTCGAAATAAACATCAAAGTAGGCCTTGGACGGCCATTTTGAAATTGTATTTTTCAACAAAAATGGCCGTAGTAGTATTTTACTCTGGTTTTTCTCGATATTAGTGCGGAAAATTGTTTTGAAATGAGTTTTGTAGTGCGAAATATCGAATTTTTCATAACTGGTACGTTAATTTTCAAATACAATGTCATTTTTCTTATCAAAAATCTCTATAGTAAGCCAAGAGAACGCTAGACCATGAAATTTCTCAAAATTTCAGCTTGCGCCGCTATTAAGAAAGCAAACATTAGATCTCCCACTGGGTCACTGGGTGGGCCGATATAAGGACTCCAACTTAGGCCGAAAAAAATTTCCCAATCCGGCCCTGCTGATAGCCTTTCTCGCATTTCCAAGATATGCTCTGTAGTGTTGAGTCCGGTGCTGGTTTGGACGAAAGTTGTAACCTGAGGTTGTAATCTTCAATACATTTTCAAAGAAATTTCAACTTTGACGGCTTATATCTGGGAAACAGAAATAACCTGGAATATCACTTACAAATAATTTTGAAAATGTGGCGCCGAGTCGGGTGCCCAAAATTTTCCAGGATCAAAATCTCTTTTATTTTTTTGCGGGCTTACGAACCGTCGGAGCGAAAAATGCCTAGAGACATTTTTGACGTATTTTTTGCTCCTCTATCAGATGGTATTTTTTTTTTTCGAAATTCGGTAAAGTAACTGCAGGGCGTGTATATGTTACTGTAAATGCCCGAAATTCGGTAAAACCTAGGATAAGCACGCTAAACCTAGGATTTACAAGTGGTAAAAGCCCGAAAACTAGTTATTTTTCTTTCATTTCAGACTTTTACGGACACAAACAGTAAATGTTAGGATTTACCACACCGCATTGGTAAAAGTACGAATACCACTGATACGTAACAGAAATTGATATCGTGAAACGATAATCGTAAGAAAATTTCTTGACTCCTGGAGATGTTCCATCTCAGAAAATAAGCGTAAGAAGTGCAGTGCGAAAATTGTCATTATGTAGTGGCCAAGGATTCAAGAAATGCAATTGCATTCGAAAATCTTCCACCAAAAGATGTTTGTACAGATCCTCTAAAATACTCTGCAATTCTAAATGCCATGTAGGTACCAATAAATAAATATTTCTATTATGTGGACATTTTAATTCATTTATTTCATTTAATAAATAAAAGGATTTTTTCTACGTGCGTAAAGAAAATCCTTTCCCAAAAGTGTGCGTAAAGTAACTTTTTTGCGCACTCTATGCGGGTTTTTTTTTTTCTCGCACACTTTTTTTCTGGTACCCCTAATAAAATCCGGGGGGCTCCTATTTGGGTGGCAAAGTCCTGCGTTTAGATATACCTACACCATTTCCAAATCCAAGTAAATGACATTGAATAACCTAAGTTGTAAACAAACACCAGCCTTCCTATTGGTTGAAATGCCCTACCTAAACTAGTGCGCATGCACGGAGGACATTTGAAAGGTTGTAATGAAAATGACCAGTTTGTCATTAACTGCCGCTTGGACTTGGTTCAACCATAGTTAGCTATAGAAAAATTCAAAAAAGAAGTATAGTTATTTCACTCGTAGAAAAAATATTGTTCCTACCACGTGCGCAAAGTTATGTTTTCCCCTACTTAAAGCTTATCCTCTAACTGCTTTCGCGTGCGGGAAAACTTAACTTTGCGCACTGATTAGGAAAACTACTATTTTCTTTTAATATTCAAGTATAGTTTTTCCAAAGGAATTCATCAAATGAGCTTTTAATACTAAATTGAAGTTTTCGAGTGAAAAGGGTGGATTTTTGGAAAGACAAATAAAATACAACTAGCATTTGGGCCCAAACGTTTCGTCCTACAAAAAAGTTAATAGATGTAATTCATAGAAACTTTTATTTACTTTCATTTTGAATAGAGGTATTTTCTTTAAAAAATTGATAGTTTTCGAGTTATACGCACAAGACTGCCAAAACTACAATTTTTTTCACTTTTTTAGCATTTTTTTCGATGTTGCGTCACCAAATTTTGTTAGTATCCGAATTTGAGATTCAGCACCCCAAAAAAACATAAAGAATGGAGAAAATCAAAACTTTCCCGCGAGAGGATTCTATAAGCACAAATTTATTGTACTAATATAGTATATTGTGTATTAAGGTGGAAAAGTGACAAATTCTCGGCCGACGGTGTAAGTTGACGGGCGAGGCGTAACCGAGGCCGAGAATGTGCTTTTCCACCGAAATACACATACTATTTTTTCTGCGATCGGTAAATATCTGTTAAATGTTTGTCTTGTTGTTCCAATTATTCAGCAGTACCAGAATCACTTTCCCGGCCTAGGCCGGAAAAGTGATTCTCGTATTGTTATTCATTGATTCCTTAGCAACTATTGAAAAATAATTAAAATACCAGAATATTGAGTTTTGCGACCTGTCAACCGGTCAAAAATGCTGACATTTCTTGTCAATCGCAGAAAAAGGCTATTTTGATTTGAATGAACTTAATAAACTCAAATTGTTTCTAAAATGGTGAAGGTAGCTTAAACGCAATAAAAATGTTCCATCGTATACCAGCTTAGTCGGTAATTGGATCTTTTAACGAGCTCAAACACGTTCATGCAAAGTTTTCAAACTAATGATGCATTCGCTTTTCCCATAAAGACAACAACAAAACCAAATCTTGCGTGACAATGCGACTTTTCAGTCCCTGATGATGTTTCACGCAAACACGAAATTAGT